TATTTTTCCGCACAAGATATATCGTTGTCACAATGTTTGGTTAATCAATTGTAGTTAGGGTCATCTATAGTTAAATATTCAAACATTTGGGTTAATCAAGATAACCAAGAGTACTTAATCTGGAAAAACTGAAATCACATTCTTGTTTCCTACTTCATTCTTTAGAAGCTTCTTGTTTCCTAAAACTTTTGTTATATCTTGTATATTTTGTGAATGAAGGATGAATAATAAGGATATATGTCTCAATGATCTTGTGGTCAAGCGATATAAAGTGACTCTCCCAAGTGGGAGGTATTAGGTTCGAGGAGACGATATTGACTCGTTGGACTTCAATATGCTATTATCAATTGCACCATGGATCAAGAACGATACAACGATCCACGCAGATTAAATATAGTTTGCTATAGCAAATATTAGAGTTAATTACCAAAATGGTCCCTCGACTATAGAGAAAGTACCGACTTGGTCCTCAAATTATTTTTTGACCGATGCGTCATCAACTATTCAATTTATGTCCGATATGGTCCTCCGTTTGTTTGGGAGTTAAGTCACCATCTAATTTGAGTGTATAATATTCCTTTCAGCAATTCTGTAACAAACTTCTTCTTTTCCTACGTTGGATGGTGAGTGACCAACCATGGCAGCTCGCCGGAGACGAAACTAGAGAGGAGGGACGCGGTTTCTCGCCATCACCGCCTTTGTCTACTGTTGGAGGTCGCCAAGAGAGAGAGAGAGAAAAGGTCAACAGTCTATTGCTGCTGCTACGCCGTCGACCATGGTAGAGAGAGGAAAAGAGGGCGAAGGGGAGTGAAGATGAAGGAAGATAGAGAAAGAGAGCTTGCCAATTCTGTAAAAAAAAAAAAAAAAAAAGAGAAAATACAAGCAAAAATTGGAAATCAGGAACTGTCTCTGCTTCCCGCTCCGTCTCCGGTGAACCGTGGCAAACCTCCGTCACCACCGTCTCTGCCACACCTCCCTAGCATCCCCGCTCAAATCAACAAGATTAGTACCTTAGATTTATGTCCTCTGAATTCACATAAATATGATTCACTCGGAGATAAAGGTTTGTGGCAGAAATTGCTCTGACACGCTAATCAGTTTTAGTGGAATAGACTGCTCGTAAGCACTTGTTGTAAAGCAGCACTTATATTCTCTAAACCCAAACACCTGTTTGTCATCAATCTCTGCAATCTGTTGTCGTTGCTGTGAAAGGGGAGTAATCTCAACTCTAACCATATTGCATGCGATATATAATTTATACTTTCTGAAATTTGTAAAGCGCAGCACACAGTGATGTCGAAACTTAAGTTGAATTGTAACACAAACAATCTGTAACGCAATTCGGGCAACCAACCCTAATCTGCGAGACACTTCTCAATTTGAGAACTTGCCTAAATCCACTAAAAGCTCAATATTTAAAGTACATTGTTTGGAACCTAAGATTACACAACAGAATGATCTTTCCTACCAAACTATTGAAACCTAAACATATGTACTACTTTCTAGGGGAATTTAGTATCCTATTCTCAAAGACTCTCATACCTCACAAGATTAATGTTGAATGCTTACCTGATGTGGTAGAAGGTGATCCCTATTTATAGCAGCTACTCCTAACAGATTTGTGAGTAACAATGCTATTACTAATTATACTGGGATTGGTAGTTCTTCAATAAAGACTATGATATTCCTAATTATACTGTGATTAGTAGTTCTTCAATAATGACTCCTCCTAGGACTGGTATTCCTTCTTCGGGTTGGAATCCCCTTTTGCAGATAACTTTGACAGAATCTTTTGAGTCAACAATTTCTTTGCTGCATTAACAATGTCTCCACTATCTTGGTTTTCACAATCCACCGCCACATGCAGCCATCGGAAAAGGAGCCCAACAGCCTAGTGGTGATCTTGCATCTCAGAAAAGATATGGCCGAGGAGGGATTGGACTACAAAAATTGGAATGATGAAACTTATCAAAGTGCGTATTCTGACTATTGCGATAAAGAACATGGGTGTACTACTCCAAACAAAGAGAATGGAAGTCCCAAAGCTACTCGTATGTCATCTGATCATGCATAGTAGTCGCTTCTTCAATTCCGATGGAGAAAATGAGACGAATTTCCACCGCTAGCCCCTGCTCGCCACGTAGTTGCTGCCGGAGAGGGGGAAACTATTAATGATACTTGTGGCTGATACATTTTGTCTCTCTTTAGTTCTAATTATTCGCCTTTAGAATAGCAGTGTTAAATTGGTGGTTACAACTTCCTGCTAACCACCTGCTAGCTTATCTCCATTGTATGCTATTTATAGCTAGTTGTTTGTGTCAATTAAATAAATACAGTTCATGATCTTATATGGTATCAAGAGCCAACTTTCTCCTACGAAAGAACTTTTCTTTTTTTTTTTTTTTTTGATGGCTTCTACTATCACCAATGAAATCATCCAACTCAATGCTCCCACACACTTTCCCATTAAATCACTACCGTCAATTTCCCAGTTTGGTGCCGACAAGTTCATGCTACCCTTGTTGGTCTCAACCTCCTGGGCTATGTTGACGGTTCCACCAAGGAACCCACCGAATACACGGATCCTGCTCGAACCGTTCCCAACCGAAGACATTTAACTTGGTACCGTCAGGACCAAATCATTGTTGGTGCACTTCTGGGAGGGATTCATACGATTGTGAGAAGTGGGCAGGCGGTGACGAAGAGAGAGGGAGACTTCCGGCGACCTCCGTCGCAACAGCAGTAACGTTTGCGCCTTGCAGGTTTTCGTCGTATCCTCGGGGTCACACATGCTGAGAAAATAAACCCATTAAATTCCAGAACAATTCTAACCCAGTCCAGGACTTAAAATTTTTATGATAATGGCGGGGTGTACGCATGAAGGTGATGATGATGGCGAAGGTATAATTAATTTTTTCTGCTCGACGATTTCGAGGACCAATTAATGAGCGGAAAACCGATAATGGCGTCGAGGTTTTCGCCTGCGGCTCTGAACCCACTAGAAACAGCAAAATGTTGCTGCAACAACAAAAGAGTGAAAGGTCTCTAATGCCCTTAAAGTGGAGAGTGAAAGGACTATTATGCTGTTATATTAGACGGTGACTTAACCCCAAACAGACGGAGGGCCATATCGGACATAAATTGAATAGTTGATGACTGGATCCGCAAAAAAAATAAGTCGAGGACCAAGGCAGTACTTTCGCCATAGTCGAGAGACCATTTTGATAATTAACTCCAAATATTATAGTTCTTAACTTTTTTTAATATAAAAACAAGAAAAGAAAAAACTTACCAATCTGGTTCGATTTGGTAGGCACAATAAATCCTAAAGAAAAGACAAAAGACCAAAAGATTTATATTATAATTTTAAAACATTATTTTGACAGGTAAATTTGTAACTTAATGGTGTAGCTGCAACTTGCCTGCAGCCTAATTTCTTTTGTAATCATCGATTGTTTCTTAATTATTGCTTTCTTGTTCAAATCCAAACACAATCCCTTTGCTGTGTATGTGTTAAGCCTTGCCATGTATATGCAATATAATGTTTCCAAGATTTTTTTTTTCATTCCCATTTTTTTATGCGAACAAAAACATATTGTATATAAAATCTCAAAACTATACTACAACAATAACATATTGTATATAAAATCTCAAAACTATACTACACAGTAACGTACTATAAATCGAATGATCACAATTGGTAAATCGTTGATACTCGGAGGACTATTGGAGGTATTAACTCTTATTAATTTTAAACTAGCACAGTAGAATATATAGGCATTGTTGGTTTTGGTTTCTAAATTATTATTGATATTTTTATTATAACATAATTATTTTATACATTTTATATTTATCTAATGAAGTCTTATAGGTCATGCAACAATTTTGGTTCATGGTTAGACAATATTATTTCTTGCAACCTATACGTTAATGGACAATGCGGGAGTTATCGCATTAACTAAACTGTATAGTTATCAAATTATGAACATTTAATTTCGTGATTTGTGAATACAGAGTTCAACAATTGAGAATATAAACATCGAAAATTATGAGCATATAGCTCTATCACATTTCACAAATCTAATGTTGTAGATTCATAATTACTATACTGTAGATTCATAATTTCTAAACTGTGCGATTGCGGAGAGATAATGAAATGTTTGAATGTGAAAGGAAACCGCCTAACGCCATTAACAGCAATGAAAAAGAATTTTTAATTTTTTTTGAAACGGCATCATTTTGCAACAGTGGGCACCATGCATGGTGCACACGGTTGCACAACATAATTTGCCGACAATGCGTCAGTAGGCCTTCTTCCATAAGAAATTGCAGAAGAATTGGAAGAACCGGTAGATGATGGAGCGTTATGCTGTGCAACCGTGTGCACCATGCAAAAACGACGTCGTTTTGACGTCCAACTTTAAAAAAAAAAAAATCAGTTTCGTTTGCTTTTAACGGCATTATGTTGTGCATAATTTGAACTATACATCCATAAGTTCGTAACTATACATTTAGAATTGCATAACTACACATCTATAACTTTATAACTATACATTCAAATCGAATTGCATAACTACACATCCATTAACTTCATAACTATACATTCTGAATTGCATAACTACACATCCATAACTTCATAATTATACATTTAGAATGTGAAATTATAAAATTATGAACATATGTTTTTGTAACTAACGACAATCGAAAATGATTTTTTTTTTTAATGTACACTGTTTTTACAACCGTGTGCACCATAGCATAATTTGCCGTAGATGATGAGTTTCTAAGGACAAGAAGATATGGGCTAGTAACAACGTCCAATATATCTATTTATTGTAGATCTTCTAAAGCTAAAATAAATGAGGGAGTGGATAAATTATTTGTAGTCCACGTAGTGTTGTGTGGACCATAATAAAATGTACATTTTTAATATATTAAAAGTATATTATTCGTGTACTGAATGTATATTATATAAAATAATGTACTTCCAGTGCTCAAATAATGTACTTTCCGTGAATACAACGTACATTTTAATATACTAAAAGTATATTATTTGATAATATGGTGCACACAATAATGATTGTGAACTGCAAGGCTCCTTTCCGAGCATCACTCCAGCTCAAATGGTTCAAGCAAAGTGTAAAACTCAAATGCTTAAAGCCTAGGAGGATCTTGAAGCTTTAGATTTGGCTATTGAGTATGATTGCTAAGGAGAAGACTGACATGAAGTATGAGCTGTTCAATAGTTCAAAACTGGTGATCTAAAGAAGACATTTGATCTGCTATGTAAAGTTGAAGGAATGAGCTTCACTAAATTTGAAAGTATTTTCGTTAATGCACGGGCTCAACGAGCAACGGAGCAATTAATGACAAAGGGGAGTTTGGTAAATAGCTGTTAGCTGATTGTGTTAGTGAGTTTGAGTAGTTGATAGCATTTGCTGATTATAGAAAGATGTTTGATAAATTAGTTGTTAACTGATAGTTGATTACATGCAAAATGATTTTCTCAAAAAACTGTTTTCAGCAGCTTTTTGAATTTTAGCATTTTAGAGCAATAAGCTGTTACAAAAAGCTAATTAATTAAACACAACTTATATTGAATGTTTAACCAAATCAAACAACTAATAGTGGTGAAACAAGTCAAAAGAGTTAATTCCAGCAATGGTCCTCCGACTATATTGATTTTCCAAAATTAGTCCTCGACTTTTAATTTAGACACTTTAAGTCCCTTGACTTTCAATTTCTTTCCAATTGAGGTCTTTTCGTTAGAATACGGTTAATTGGACTTTAAATGAAGGGGTAAACTCATCCTTTCACCTGCCTATGTATTATTCTTCGTATTTCTCCCTTGTATACGCGATATATATGAAGATAATCTCAGTCGAAGCCCTAAAATGTTCCTTGTCGTTCTCCATTTGCTGACTGCCCGTGTGTGTGTTCCTCCATTATTGAGATGTTTACTAGGTACAACAGCAAAATACGAAGAATAATACATAGGCAAGTGAAATGATGAGTTTACCCCTTCATTTAAAGTCCAATTAACCGTATTCTGACAAAAGGACCTCTATTGCAAAGACATTGAAAGTCAAGGGACTTAAAGTGTCCAAATTAAAAGTCGATGGCTAATTTTGGAAAATCAATATAATCGGAGAATCATTGCTGGAATTAACTCTAATCCAAAATTAAATTAGCTGATAAGCTAACTATGTTACCAAAAGGACCAAAACCTAAGAGTTGAGAATAGGAAGTCTGAGTGGTTCAGTGTTGAAAACGCATAAAAAGTTCACAAAGAAATGCAAGCAAGGAAAAATGCCTGAAGATACTGAGAATGGTGAAACGACATAAAGGATGAAGGTTATGCTTGCCAACAAGAAGAAGAATAAGCCTAATATGAAAGACCCCTAATAACTCCAGTAATGGTCCTTAAAGCGTTAGATGCCAACACTTTCCGTGAAGAGGTAGGTATATAGAGTTATATATATGGTTGGAGGAGTTGATAGTAGTGAACAATCAATGCTTAAACACTATGTTAGTGTTTTAATTTGTTTGTTAAACCCCAACATGTAATTGACATTATTATTATGTCAAATTAGAATAGGCTGTAGATCAGAGTCAGTCTGAGTTTGAAGAATGAACCTGTTTGATCAGGTAATCCATCAGAAGTGTCTCTAGAAAATTAAAGTAGTTGGAAGACATTTAATAGAGGAGCGTATGATCTGGCAGAATGCCGTTATGGCCTGAGGTGAAATTACAAGAAAGTCCTCACTTATTGGACACCTCAAAGGGTATGGACGTAATCTAATTAAGGAGCTGTTTGATTTCTGATTACGTGTCCTACACAACCAGAGATTTATATATGAGTTGCTGATTCAAGAAACTGGATACAAGTATACAATACAACCCTTGAATCTAGAATAACACTCATTGTTCTAAAAGTCTCTCTCTAGTTATTATCTCTTCTCAAGACCTAAAGTTCATGGTGATTTAAGAAGATGAACTTGAGAAGAAACAACTGTGATTAAACAGTGGACGCGAAGATCACTCAGTTTGGGAACGTGGGACTGCGTCATTGAAGCGGACTGCATCAAAGTTAGCTCTCCATTTAAGGGATTTTATGGACTTCTGAATGCATGGCTCTCCGTCTTTAACAATCCACTAAACCTCTGTAGATTGGGCACTGGCCTTGTGTGGGGCACTTGGGTGAGATCGTTTCTCTACCTTTGTACATTGGATTCTGAGTTAGTGGATTGGACGCATCGGTGATCGTCTCCTAGACGTAGATACACACTGTATAGAACTGGGTAAACAAACATGTGTGTTGATTTACTTTCTGCTTTACTTTCCACACTTTAGCTTATCTGGTTGTCTATCTGTTTGTTTGTCAGATTATCTGTCTGTTAATCTGCCCACCAACATTTTGATAAGAAAGTAGGTCAATATTGTAGTTTACCAATTCACACAAAATCACAATTGGTATCAGAGCTTTTAAGTCTGCATAATGACTTGATCCATACGGAAAAAGCTTTTTGTTGTATTTCGGTAATAGAGTTTGTTATTATCTTCTCTTTCTGTTTGTGTTTCTCTCTATCTGTGTTTCTGGCTAGTTGTCTGATTGTATCAGGATGGACTCGAATACGGAACCTTCTGAGTTAGATGGTCACAATTACTCATTCTGGAAGGCTCGTATGGAGATTTACCTCCAAGCACAAGGAACAAGGGTGTATTCCACTATCCTCACTAGATGGACACCTCCAATAGTTCAAAATGCAGATGGATCGGCTAAACCAATAGCGAATTGGATTGATGATGAGATAACTGCTTCTGATCTCAACAGCAATGCCCTAAATTCGATTGTAGGATCTTTACATGAATCAGTATTCATTCAAGTTACTAGAATAAAGGATGCAAAAAGGGCTTCGGAAATCCTAGAAACTAGAGATGAAGGCACCAGTGATGTAAAACAGTCCAAACTTCAGATGGTATTGTCAAAATTTTAGGCTCTGAGGATGGATGAAGATGAAAATATCTCGAACTTCCATAGTAGAGTTCAAGATCTGATGAACAGAGCGGCTGTTCTTGGTGAACCATTTCAAGAAGATAGAGTAGTCAAGAAGATATTGCGGTCTTTGCCTAAGAGATTCCGGATGAAGGTGACTGCGATCCAATAAAATGCCGGTTCGGAAAAGAAACGTGTAGGTGAACTAATGGGTAGTCTTCACACTTATGAACTTGAAGTGTTGGCCAATGATATCCCGAGTTCAAGAAGACGGGGAAAGTCAGTGGCATTCATCACTGAGGCTGATCAAGAGTCTGACTCTGAAGATGTTGAGGACGAATCTCTGGCTTTGCTGACGAAAAATTTCAAGAAGAAACCAAGGGCAATCTAATCGCAACCAATCCAAGGGTGGAAACTCTGTAAATCAGAAACCTGGATCAACCCCCTCATCTTCAAATACTGGTCAATCTACACAATCCGGTGAGTTCAAGAACACATCGAATTCTACAGGTAAAACCCTAAATCGGTCTGTTCAATGCTGTGATTGTGAAGGATTTGGGCATATACAGCCTCAATGTGCAATGTATTCGAAACGAAAGAAGTCCAAGTCTGCTTCAACGTTGAGTGATGATGAAAAAGATAATGCAGACCAGGTGTCTGATGAAAATACTGGAAACTTTGTTGTTTTCTTTACTACAACAGAGATTCACTCAGACTCTGATGAGGATGATGATGAAGCCTATATGTCTTCTGATGACTTTGAAGAGAGACATACTCAGTTAGAGATCGATTGCTAAGCTTGTTGCAAGTTGGGAACATCTGGTGAAGATCAACATAAGTCTGAATGAGGATCTAAGAAAGCGAGATGAACAGTTGAAGAAGCTAACGCAGATTTAGAAATGAAGGATGATCTTATTGCTCAGATCAGATCTCGAGAAGGAAAGTTGATCAAAGAACAGGAAGATTTGAAGAAAAACATCAAGATGATGGACACTACATCTACTTTGGCCAAAATATTATATTCTGGTCGAAAGTCAAATAGTAGAACAGGTCTCGGATTCGAAAGGGGACAATCATTTAAGACTGCTTCTGTGTTTGTCAAAGGAAGCACTTCCAACTCTACATTTGAGCCTGAACCTCCGCATACTAAGTTTCAATCACTTCATTCTAGAAACAAGGGCAAGTATGTCAGACTCAAGAAGTATGTTCCTACTTGTCACTATTGACAAGTTAGAGGTCACACATGACCAGAATGCTACTATTTCTATAAAGATCAAAGAGAGGAGAAGTACAAGAACAAGTTTATTGCTCCATTCAAGAGACAAGTTTAGGTTAGAAAATCAGAAGTTGTTTGCTATCCAACCATTGTGTTGTCTGCTGCATTGACTGAAACCAGATGGTACTTTGGCAGTGGCTGCTCGAGACATATGACTGGAAATTCAAAGTATCTAACATATATTCAACCTAGCAACGGTTCAGTGACGTTTGGGGATGGTCAACGAGGCAAGATAATTGGTAAAGGCACTCTAAATGTTCCAGGCTTACCTCATTGGAATGTCTGCTTCAACCGAGACTGTTGCATCGTTCGTGATAAGACAGATAAAGTTGTCATGGAAGGTACACGTTCTTTTGATAATTGTTATATCTTAACCAATGATACTATTTGTTTTAGGGAAAAGTCAGAAGAGTCAAAGCTATGACATCGACGACTGGGTCACATGAATTATCGGGATATGGACAAGCTCATCAAACTTGATGCTGTTCGAGGCATACCAAAGCTGAAAGTGGATCATGAAAGAGTTTGAGGTACCTGTGTTATAGGAAAGCAAACCAGAACCCCTCACAAAGCTGTAAAGATGATTACCACTAAGAGATGTTAGGAACTGGTTCATATAGATCTGATGGGTCCAACTCAAACTGAGAGCATTGGTGGTAAGGAATACATATTTGTTTGTGTTGATGATTTTTCACGTTTCTGTTAGGTGTCTTTCTTAAGGGAGAAATCTGAGGCATTCGAAGCATTCAAAACATTATGTGTGAGACTTCAAAAGGAGAAAGATGAACCTATTGTCAAAATCCTACGACTCAGAAGTGATCATGGGAAGGAATTTGAAAACTCATCTTACTCACACTTTTGCTTAGAAAATGGAATAGCCCATGAGTTATCTGCCCCTCAAACTGCTCAACAGAATGGCATTGTGGAAAGAAAGAATCGAACACTACAAGAAATGACAAGAGTTATGTTAATGCATCACGTCTACCATAACGTTTTTGGGCTGAGGCAGTGCAAACTGCATGTCATACAGTGAATCACATTTGTCTTAGGCCTGGTACATCTAAGACTCCATATGAAATATAGAAAGGTAAAAAACCTAACTTGAAATATTTCAATATTTTTGGTACTAAATGTTTCATCTTGATTGATCGTGAACAAAGAGGAAAGTTTGAGCCCAAGAGTGACGAGGGAGTATTCCTTGGATACTCACCAAATAGTCAAGCTTACAGGGTATATAACAAGAGGACTCAAACAATTATAGAGTCAGTGAACGTTGTTGTAGATGATGAGCCAGATGAGCCTGAAGCCATAATAGTGTCTGATTCTGCATTTGATACATTACCTGATACACTACTCAAGCCGCCAGATGAATCAGAACATGTTAATCAACCTCTTGTCTCTGATGAACCACCAAATGAAGATGATGATAATAATGGGATGAGTCAATCTTTGTCTGATCGTGATGGAAGGGACAAGTCAACTAGAACTCAGAAGAATATAATCATCCATCAGTCAACATCATTAGTGATCCATCAGCTGGAATTCGCACAAGAAGCAAAGTGTGGAATAATCTGATAGAGTTGGCTGGATATTCTTGCTATACTTCAAAGATAGAACCCAAAAATGTCAAAGAAGCTTTACAAGATGATCTCTCGGTTAAGTTTATGCAAGATGAGCTTCATTAGTTAGAGAGAAATCATGTGTGCGATCTCGTTCCTAAGCCAGAGGGTGTGAATGTTATTGGAACAAAATGGATCTTCAATAACAAGACTGATGAAGTAGGGAATGTTGCTCGAAATAAAGTCAGACTAGTTGCTCAAGGATACACTCAGATAGAAGGAATCGACTATGATGAGACTTTTGCACCTGTTGCTAGGCTAGAATCAATCAGAATTCTAATGGCTATTGCTTGCATACTGGATTCACACTGTTTCAGATGGACGTAAAGACTGCGTTTCTAAACGGCTATTTGCATGAAGATATCTACGTGGCTCAACCTAAAGGTTTTGAGGACCTTAAGTACCTAGGACATGTCTACAAGTTAAGGAAAGCTCTTTATGGCCTTAAGCATGCTCTAAGAGCTTGGTATGAACGTCTGACTCAGTATCTTCTACAACATGGTTATGATCGGGGAAGTGTAGACAAGACTTTATTTGTCAAGTCTACTGGAAAGTATGTTACTATAGCTCAAATCTATGTCGATGATATTGTATTCGGATCTACTCTACAAAAGTATACTGATGATTTGGTGCATGTTATGAAGAGAGAGTTTGAGATGTCTATGGTTGGTTAACTGACGTATTTTCTGAGTTTACAAGTGAAACAAAGCACTGAAAGATACTTTATCTCTCAAGAAAAGTATGCTAAGAATATGATTAAGAAGTTTAAGCTGGAATCATGCAAGACGTAATCTAATTAAGGAGCTGTTTGAATTTCTGATTACGTGTCCTACACCCTCAACCAGGAATTTATATATCAGTTGCTGATTCAAGAAACTGGATACAAGCATACAATACAATCCTTGAATCTAGAATAGCACTCATTGTTCTAAAAGTCTCTCTCTGGTTATTATCTCTTCTCAAGACCTAAAGTTCATGGTGATTTAAGAAGATGAACTTGAGAAGAAACAGTTGTGCTTAAACAGTGGACGTGAAGATCACTCAGTTGTGGGAACAGCGTGGGACTGCGTCATTGAAGCAGACTGCATCAGAGTTAGCTCTCCATTGAAGGGATTTCATGGACTTCTGAATGCGTGGGTCTCCGTCTTCAACAATCGACTAAACCTTTGCAGATTGGGTACTGACCTAGTGTGGAGCACTTGGGTGAGATCGTTTCTCTACCTTTGCACATTGGATTCTGAGTTAGTGGATTGGACGCATCAGTGATCGTCTCCCAGACGTAGATACACATTGTATTGAACTGAGTAAACAAACCTGTGTGTTGATTTACTTTTTGCTTTAGTTTTCGGCGCTTTAGCTTATCTGGTTGCCTATCTGTTTGTTTGTCAGATTATCTATTTGTGTTAATCTGCCCACCAACTGTTTGATAAGAAAGTTGGTTAATATTGTAGATTACTAATTCACACAATCACAATAATATATATATATATATATATATATATATATATATATATATATATATATATATATATATATATATATATATATATATATATATATATCACTACAAGAAAAATCACGAATCGCGACAGAATTTTTCCATCGCGAATGGGAATATTCCGTCGCGAATCGCGTTTCGCGACGGAATAGCGACGGAATTTATTCCGTCGTCTATCGCCTTGTCGTATTTTGAAAGACGACGGAATAATTCCGTCGCAACTTTTGGCGACGGAATAATTTCGTCGCGATTCCGTCGCCCATTTCGCAACGGAAATGTTTCCCGTCGTAATTCTGTCGCATCATTTGCAACAAATATTTCGTCGCAAATTTTATATTCCATCACGATTCCATCGCGTTTTTGAATTATTTTAAAATAAAATTGTGATTTTAAATAGTAATGAATATTTTTAAAATATGTTATTTTCCTATATCTCAATCATAGCAATTAAACGCCTTAGGCTGGGAAAAAAGCAGCATAGAGATGAAGATTATGCTTTATTATTTAAAAGTTCAAAACTAAAACGAAAGGTTTAACAGGATGCATCATTAGTCTCTCTAACGGCTACACTACAGTAATCATGTACACATGATTTTCAAATACTTCTACATGATGGTTCCACTAGGAATCAATGCATCCTTGATGATTCTGATTCCACTTTTAATGAAATATCCTTCAGTTTCCCTAGCTGCTTCTTGAACATTTTCATTGTTAATGATCTGAAACAATCAAGAGTCAAGTTAGCTGTTTCTTTATGTTACACGTGCATAGGAAGATTGAGCACACTTGTTCACTAGATTAATGGCCAAGTTTTTAAAAGCAAAAAAGAGGAGAAAAGCAGACAACTATTTGATATCGAACCTTCACATCATTCCCATTACGAGCATTCTTGCCAATGATTGGTCTTTTGATGATGTGTGAATTCCTGCCAATTCCAATTGGAACACTTCCCTTTGCAGCCAGAAGCCTCCTGTCAGCATTCGTCTGAAGCAAGAAACCAAAGGATGTGAAAATGGCTATAAATTGCTAAAGGAAGAAAGAAGCATAACAACAACAAAGAGTATGATATCCATTAGATCATGAACTAATAAAATATCACATTCTGCCCAAAAGTCAATTTTAGCCCAACATAGATGCAAATTCATTCGGTATCTACATGGATGATTACCTCATAGTAATCTTACACATTTGCTAGTGGAATTTATACTATTAAGAAATACACAGTTTATCTCTAAAACTCGCAAACAGAGAACTTCACAGGGAAAATAGTTTTGTATCTTGTGTCAAACGTAAGATCAGATGGCTGCCTTTCACTAATCTTACCTATCAGATGAACGACTTTTTGTTATGTGTCATTTGGCCTACATAACTGCAGAGATGCTGGTCGGTAATGCAGATGCAAAGGGGCTGTCCGGGAGATTAATTCCTGAATTGTTGTACATTATCATCATCATCATCATCATCATTAAAATAAAGTATTAAACCGAAGAATTGGTCAGATAGGAGGAAACCGCATTTCGTACCTCCCGTGATCATGGTATTTTGTGCTTGAATATATTTGGTTATTATCATCACTTGAGGAGCCGCCGCTTGGACCATCCAACTGGTAGAAATCATCAGCAGACGTGAGCTTGGAATACTCTGCAAGAAAAGAATGAAAAATGATAAAAAAAAAAAATTTAGGAAATGTGAAATTTAATGTCTAATAAAACCAAGTCTTTGGAACTGCACCTTCAGACATTTTCAGCTCGTCCATGGAACAGCCAAAGAAAGAATGATTAGACAACAGAGGCTTTCGTGCTAACTGCAGTTGCGAGAGTCGCCTTATCTCAAGTTTGAGAGCGTGTTGTTCCTCGAATCTCCTTAGAAATTTGGAATCCAATCCTATAATCAAATACGAAACACTTTAAAATTATTGGAAAACAAAATAATTTAATTACGCAATGAGAAGCTAAAAACAAACTTGATTGATTCTCATATTCAAAATCGTTGTGAGAGTTGTAATTCATTGATGGATCAATTTTGTCTTGAAATTTCCTGCAAGAGAGCAAGACCAACTTAATTTCATTGCAAGAAACATCATAACACAACATCTCGAATAGGTAAAAATACCTTTCAATAGGCTTTGACTTTCCCCTATATGGTTTCACAAGAACACGAGCCCCTCATAGTAATCTTACACATTTCCAAGAGATAATCAAAAGTGAATATATGATATATGAATATGATAATTAATATTAAATACATAATAAATAAAAATAAACATAAATTACTAACTTACACAGTGAATAACTTAAAGTAATAAAATTAAAAACTGAAATATAGTCACAGTACAACACATTAAGTCATGAACTGAAATATCTCCCCAGTCCCCGTCCCCATTTTTTATTAATGCCTAAAAGAAAGTCTAATATTATAAAAAATTCATATTGTTTAATGGAATCTTGTCTGCAGGTTAGCTACTTAGCAGGGATTTTGCAGATACAATCAATAGACAAACCATTACAAACCTGCTAATACAAAATTTAATGGAATTGGTTCTATTTCTCAATCAAACAATAATACAAACCAGCTACTTAGCCAATACAATTGAAAATATAGTTCTCATGCCAAAACATCCAAATATCCAATGTCTTAGTTCTATTTCTCAATCAGACATTAGTAATATTAAACTAATATAAACAGCAACAAAGAGAAACTAAAACACCTACAAAGAGAAACTAAAATAGCAGCAGACGACGGAGACAGTGTCGCTACTCGCTTACCTGAAGAAACTAAGCAGCGATGGAGAGAGGACGACGGAAGTCAATACAACAGACGGCGTCGCAGGCTCGTGGCGATGGAGAGAGGTCGACGAGTCAGACACGGACGGCGACGGTGAGGGAGTGAAGCTTGGCGTCGTCTCAGTGATGAGCAAACACGGACGGCGAGGGTGACTGAGTGAGGCTTGGCGTCATCTAAGTGACGAGCAGACACGGACGGCGTCTCAGCGACGAGCAGACACGGACGGTGGCTCAGCGATGCGTAGAGGGAGACCGGAGGGCGTGCGGACAGTGAGGGAGTGAGGCTTGGCTGCCGGCTGCATGACTGCGTTGCGAATTAGGGTTAAGAATAAGACAGACTGATAAGAGTATAGAACTAAGGGGCTTTTGTTTTTTAATTTTATTATTAATATTATTAATTATTAATTAATTATTAATTATTCATATTATATATATATATATATATATATATATATATATATATATATATATATATATATATATATATATTAACTATTAAACGGGGATTCGGGGACGGGGTTGAGGTCGGTGCGGGGAATGCCCTCCCCGTCCCGTCCCCGCAAAAAAAATCTCCGAACCCGCCCCCGGTTTAATTGCCATCCCTAGTCAACTATAATAATGTTTTATTTTATTTTTATTTTTATTTCATATTCAAAACGCTACCATTTAACTCAGAAGAAAAAATAAAATTAAAAAAAAATATTACAACGAAATCCAGACGATCGCAATTTCCGTCGCAATATTGAGTCAATATATCAAAATTTAATTCATTTAACGACGGAAACAAGTCGGTCGCAATTTCCGTCGCGATTTCGCGACAGAATGAACATCGGTCGCCCTTTTGTCACAAAATGGGCGACGGAAATTAGTTCCGTCGTAAATTCGGTCGTGAATATTTTGCCGCCAATATTTTGCGGGCTTTATTTATCTTTGCACCAAGATTCGCGACGGAATTTAATTCCGTCGCCTTTTCCATCGCCATTTTGCAACGGAATGTATTCGGTCGTAATTTCGGTCGCTATATGGCGACGAAATATAGTCCATCGCGATTCATGATTTTTCTTGTAGTATATATATATATATATATATATATATATATATATATATATATATATATATGGTAGGGTTTCAGTGAGAACATGTGCTTAGGTGAGAACGCGAGAACACATCATGTGCATTCATCTAATATTTTTTAATGGTCTAGATTAGATTAAGTGTGTGCAAACACACTAAATAGCGTTTACACACATTTAATGCGCGTTCGCACACAGTTAATCTATTCTAGACCATTAAAAAATATTAGATGGATGCATATGATGTGTTCTCATGTTCTCACCTAAGCACATGTTCTGATATGATCTTAAATCTATATATATATATATATATATATATATATATATATATATATATATATATATATACACCCACACACATTCATTGTTTTTTCTTTTTTAGTAAGTCGCATAGTCGCCTGCCTAAGCTGTCTAGGCGCTAGGCACTACTCTACCGCCCAACTAGTGCCTAGCGTCTACTGAAACTATGAGTGTGACTAAGGCATTATATTCTGTCAAACATGATACTTTCTCTTCTTGGCTAATTCCTTTCGGCGCACCATTTTTCCTATGTAAATCTCAAGACAAAACTTCATTTTATACTCAACATGTAATGTGTAGCATTAAAGCACAACAATCCTTCCTTCATCCTACATGCTCAAATCCACTTCAAATTGCTCACATAATCACATTCATATGCAAAAAAAAAAAAAAAAAAAAAAAAAAAAAAAAAAAAAAAAAAAAAAAAAACTTTCGACATGAACATAAGCAACATCCATTATTTCATCAACTCATAAGAACACATATGAACATCACATATTCAAATTCACCTTCAAAAATATGCCAATCATGATACATGGGATCCAAAATTCAGTCAAAAATAATTACTCATATATTCATGGAAACCTCAATGATCAAACATCCTAACCGAGCCTAACACATGTTAATTCATCCTTCTAACAAGGCAAACTCATTCAAAAGTGAAAAAATGTATCCCACACAACATGCATTCTACCAATCAAAGCTCTATTCACATAATCAATTGCAAAATTTCATGATCAATTCATCAATGCAAACACAATTGAACAAACCCAATTAAAAATCCCCATTTCATAAACCTATGGTTTACCATGCTCATTCAATTATACTAATCCACCATGCAATTTATCAATTAAAAAAAAAAGGGTTCTCCTCATGTATCTCAAACAATATCAACAAAATTTATCCAATAACACCACAAGAATCTAGCATTATCAACACATAGTGTATTAGAGAGAGAAAACGCTAAGAACCTTAATCATAAATGAGTCTAGATGAAAGCTCTTACCTCAAAGTTGATGGAAACTTGAAGAATCTAGCTTGAAATCTCCAAAAGAATGGAAGGAATGTGCAATGGAAAAGAGTATGCTCGTACCTTGGGGTAGGTTTTGTGTGGAATGAGAGAATATGAAGGGATGGAAGTATTTGAAGTGCAAACCCACATCTAGGAAGATTGTACTAGTAATTGTACGCTCATGGAACGCCGCGTACAATCGTCGTACAAAGTCTTGTCTTCTCAGAATTCCTCACGCTAAGTACCACGATCGTGGAACCCCTCGTACAATTTCTTCAGAGAGTTGTAAGAGCAATATCATGATCGTGGGACGCTATGTACAATTTTTCCAGAAACTTGTACGCAAGGGATCATGGTAAACCTGGAAATTATGGAAACGACCCGAAATCGAACATGAAAATAACGGGTTAGTGTGTAGCATTAACGTGTCCCGGGTCATTAATGAATTGATCCGTTATGTTTCGTGTCTTAATGAGTCAACCTGTTAAACATATTAAGAACCCGTTTAACCCGTTAATATTATCGTGTTAACCCGTTAACACGAACTCGTTTACACAAACCTGTTTATAACCCGCTAAAAACCATTGCCATGAATGAGATTACAAAAAATATTATGAACATGACTAAGGATGAATTTACTACATTAGGCCAAGATCCTACAGCAATTGTTTTGACAATTTGAAATTTGAATTTTGTGTGTTCAATTTTATTGTAAAAACTAGTATATACTCCTTTAATTATGCTTTTTGGATGTTATTTTATCATTTTATGAATGTTATGAATTGAATATTTTTTAGTTTGTTTGATGGATTGAATTGTAAGTTTTTTTTTTTGTTTATATAACTTAACTTTAAATTTTAGTTTTTTAAATATATTAATAGAAATAGCGGGTTTAAACGGGTTTCGTGCCGACACGTCTTGAAACCTGCTAACAAAACGTATCTATCGTGTCAACCCGTTTAACCCGTTAACAAATCGTGTTCGTGTTAAAATTTTGAACCAGTTAACCATAAGGTGTCATGTCCGTGTTTAGCCTTATCGTGTTCGTGTTGTTATCATGTCGACCCGTTAACGGACCCGTATACACGAATTGCCAAGTCTAGATCATGGTCATGAACCCCTTTGTACAATCTTTCCAAACAGTGTACGCTGGGAATCACGACTGTGACACCCTACATACTATGAACTCCCTAATTTGTTTGCAAAATGGCTTCTCCCTAAGCATCGTTATGGTATGTTCCTGTGCACATGGACCCAAAAAACAATAAAATAAAACAAAAAAATGTACCAAAATGCAATAAAAGGAATTGGGTTGCCTCTCAAAAAGTTCTATGTTTAACGTCTTTAGCTCGACACAATCAACATGTTCTTCTCATGGCACCTCAAAACCATTGGGTCGAAAGTAATTAGGGGTCATCCAATTCTTCCTCCACAAGAGATCTTCACTTTTCCAAAGGCTTTTTTGGTTTGGCCTTGTTTTTGCCCTTGCCTTTTGCTTTGTCCTCTGGTAAAACCATAACGAACTTTGCTTCCTCATGACCTACACGAAGGGTTAACTTTCTTGTGCCAACATCAATAATGGCCCTACAAATGGCCAAGAATGGTCTACCAAAGATCATAGGTATATCAAGATCATCATCACCAATATCCAAAACAACAAAGTCCACAGGAGTGATAAATCTTTTGACATGCACCAACATGTTTTTGGAAATCCCCTTAAGGAACCGAATAGAGCCATCAAGACTGCAAACGCTCAAATGAGTTGGGGTCAAAAGAGGTAACAACAAACGGTCGACCACAAAGGAAGGCATCACATTAATTAACACTCCTAAATTAGCAAATGCATTATCAAAATCAAGATCCTTAACCAAACAAGGCACTACAAATGCACCAGGATCCCCCAACTTATGTGGCCATCCTTTATAAAGCACGAATGGACATTCTTCATTCAAAACCACCTTAGAAACATCACTCAACTTTTTCTTCTATTTCGGAAGTTCTTTAAGATAGCATGAGAACTTAGGCATTTTACCAAGTGCATTCTAGAATGGTATATCAATGTGAATCTTATGAAGAAGTGCATTAAATTTACCTTTTCACTCCAATTCTTCCATGTTGACAAGCTTTTGAGGAAAGTGAATTGGTGGTCGGACGAGGTGTAATCGGCTTTTCCTTCAAATCTTCCTTCTGGGTTGCTAGGCCACTTGAGGTAGCCTCATTACCCTTCTTTTTGAGTTCTTCCTCCTTGGCTTTAGACACATTGGTGCTCCCCTTTGGCTCATAATTAAGAAACATCTCCAGTGTCCTCCTTCACAACCCTCTAAGAAACAGCATTAACATGTTCTCTTGGGTTGTTCTCGGTGGTGCTTGGAACAGCACCCCATGACCTTTCCGAGATCGATTTCACCACTTAAGCCAACTGTGTCTCCACATTTCTTATGGCAGTTTGGCTTTCTTGGCGCAATGTGGATATTTCTTGCCAGATTTCTTGCTTCATTTCTTGCATGAAGAGATTTATTTCATTCCCCATATCGGTCATCGTTCACATCAATCTTTCTTCAAACTCTATTTGGCTTTCATACCTAGGAGTATAGGCATTACCGTGGGAAGCTTGTGGTAGCCTATAGGGAACATTGCTTGCATTACCTTGAATTGGGTTGTATGTGACTTGGCCGCTTTCCCTAGTAGAACCATCGGTTGGTTTACTCCCTTGATTGACATTAGGCCTCCCTTGATGATTGTATCGTCATTGGCTTGAGTTGTTATTCAAACCATTTCCTTGTTTAATTTCCAACCTTGATTACCACGGCCTCTATAATTGTAGCCTTGACCTTGAAGCCTTTGTTGGTAACCAATGGCCTCTACTTGCTCATAGATTTCATTGTTAGGAAACATGCATTCCATAGTATCATGAG